GTTTCTGAGCTTTCAAAACCTGGCAGTTGTTTTTTAGTTGTTGTAGGTATCCTAAACTATATGATTCAGTACATAGTATATTAAATAACATTTTAGATATTTCCAATTGTGTGATTTTCACCATATACAAGCGCTTTCATCAGAAAGTTTCCAAGGTGTTAAGTAGTTTACAATTATCTAAATCAGCAGGTGATGCTTTTTATTCGGTTGGAAAGTTATCCACTCGATTCATGGGGCATGATGCTGTTCAGAGCAATATCCAGAAAATATCCATTTATTATTATAATCCAAGATGAGATTTTTTTGGTCTTCCTGAGGACAGAGAAATTTTCCAACAGTTTTTGCTTAAGGATTTTACTTTATTTAGAAATTCATAAATCAAGGTGTTTGTTTTTAAACTGAAATCTGTGTTTTTAAAAATCGTAGTGTTCTTAAGACCACAAAGAAATTTGGAATCAATAGACCCACAATTTACAATTAGAAGGAAAATGGAGCAGATGAGAGAAGAGAGAGAACTCGTGGAACAGCTACGTGAGGTGAGTGTTGCTAGAATTAATTAGTGCTAACAGAAGGTATATTTTAATTGGGGGGGGAAGTTGTCTAAGTAGGAGACTATTTAAAAAGATAAAATGAGGCAATATTACTTCTGCAAATCACCTTGATGAGACTGGTCTTGAAACACTTGATCATGTTTGGAAGTCTGTACTTCATGAAAGGCTTTGTAAAAATGGGGAATAATGGGACCTACCTGAATGACATATGGTTAAACAGCATGCCTTGCACTGATTGAATTAATTTATTTCATCAGAGAGGATGAAGTGATGATCACTTAAGAGGTAGAGAGATCTGGAAACTATTTCCTGACAGCTGGAGAAGTCTTAATCTAGCAAGCAAAAGGCATAATGAAAGGTATTAGTTTAAAAAACAACAGCAACAACAAAAAGTTTCTAACTTCAGTTTAAAAGCAGATAACTAATAGTTGAAACAATTTTCATAGTGTTGTGAGTCTGAACTTGTCAAGGTTTCCAGTTATGTCGTGTATTCCTAAATGCAGTGCAAATCCTGGAAGTGTGGTAGGTGACTTTGATATTGCAATATTACAAGATTATTTGTTCTTACATCTTTAGCTTCCTGGAACGATGAATACCAAAACTCATCCTGTATTTTAAACAACATGTGTTGTATTATTTAATGTTAAAACACTTTCCTCTCCTTACCAAATAGTGTTTAAAAGATGGGTTGTTTTGTATAGAACTATGAGGATTTTAAGATCATTCTCTTACCTCAGGCCCTAACCTGCTTCAAGTCTGGATTATTCCTACTTTGTCTTGCTGAATTTTTCATAGATCTTGTTGAAGATTCAGCACAGCTGACTGAACATCAGGACAAAATGCAAGAATTAGATAAGACAGACCTACTGGTAATGGAGAAGAAAATGGAAGTAGCAGTAATAAACTGTAGTAGTATGTAGTGCAGTGCAGCTTTTTACATTGCTTTTAAGAGTTACCACAAGTATGTAGCAAGTCCCCAAGTAAAATTTTCCTAAAAATAATGCCCTCAAGGTTCCTGCCTTGTGCATTAGTTCAGCTAATCCTCAAAATGAAAAGTAGAACAAGATTATTAACCGTATCAGGCAGGATCCTGGAGACCTAATAAGGATCTCTCTACACTGTATTAATCTTAAGTATTACCAGTTATACTGGTTTAATGTGTTACTGACCTTCAGCTCCATGCACTGTCATCCTTTACCCTCATTGTGAAGCATTGTGTCCTGAAATGGAAGTTCCATTGTCTCCTGTGAGAAGTTTGATTTCAACTCAAGGAGTGGTGAAAGAACCGAGATTAGCCCTGTTTGGAAGCACATAGTAAGATTTTTTTATAGCTAAGAAAGTTTATTCTGGTATACTGGGTCCTTTAGTGAGAGAAGCAGTCTCTAGACCATCTCATTATGAACTCTACTAGAAAACAGCAGAGAACAAGTACAATGCTCAGGATATATATTCAGAGATACATGCCTGCATTTGAGCCGTTTGATTTTGCATGTGTCCACACTCACTTTAGACATTTGTCATTTCAAGAGTGATTCATCACTTATTCTTGAGCAATACAGTCTATCAAGAAATACTGGTTGATTTTTGTCACTCAAAGGGTACACTTTCAATAGTTTTACATGCTAAATGGAACAAATTGTCTACTGCTGTAATATGGAGAAGAGAGCAGTTCTTGAGTGGTAACAAAACTGAAAGAGAATTTAGCCACTCATTAGGGATCAAAGGCAGAGGGTAGAACTAAGAAAAAATGACCACGAAAGACAGCCTTAAAAAAAGAAAAAAGAAAAGAAAAAAAGAAAAAAAGCACCCTGATTTATACAAGTAATCTCAGTAATGTATCCTGAGTAATCCCACAGGCAAATCAGTTTTTAAGAGAAGGAATTTTTAGTCCATTAACCTATATAAAACTGTTACAGATTTGGAAAGAAGTCTCAAAATGTATTCTGAATGTATAACTTTCTGTACATATCTCAAACCAGAAATGCTTTCTAATGTATTAATTAATCCAAGATGAAAGCCAAACATATTAGTACTTGTGATGCACTCGCTTTTTTGGCACTTGTGAGACCGTACATGTGAGTACTTGACTAGTATGTGTAGTAAAAGAAAAACTGGGAAAATATGAAACCCCCTGAGTGAGTTCAGTGAAGGCTACTTCATGGTAAGGGCACTCAAACGAAGGATGCATTTGGAAGAATTCAAGAGCTGCATTTCTTTCACTTGGAGAAAAGTGTGCTGAGAATATGACTGTCCTCAGCTGCCTTGAAGGGTAGTAATGAAGAACATACAGCCAGGCTTTCCAAAGATTCACCAGGAAAGAGTGAGGGGCAGTGGCATAAATTGCAGAGAAAGAAATTTCAAGTAGCTATAAGGAGAAAGTTCTTTGCAGTAAGGGTGGTGAAACACTGAACTAGGTTGCCTGGAGATGTTGTGGATACTCCTTTCTTGCAGATATCCAGAACTGGCTCTGACCTAATTTATTGGTGACCTTCAGAAATCCCTTCCAACCTAGAGTCTCCTTTGATTCTAAAGAGAATAATCTATTTTCATCTAAAATACCCAGCATATATTGAGATAATGTATTAATAGATAAGAATGATGTTAAGGAGATTCAACTAGGAATAAGAAATATCTATTTTAAGATGATGGAAATAATTATCCCTGAGAGTAATCTCCAGGTATGGTGTTGGGATGTTTTCAAGGTTGAAGCCCAATTTAGGAAACTCATTATATCTAACAATCTTATTGTAGGATTTTTTTCCTGAAATATTCTCAGGTATTTTCAGAGTATTTTATTTTGCAATATCATATTCTTTTCAATGAGACTTAATGCTTTACTTAATAAGTATCCAAAATTTCTCTTTTAAATCTGATTGTTTTGTCTTGCCTCACCTGTCCTGCTGTTAACTCCAAAGCTTCCAAAGTAATTTTTAGGCTACTAGGGATAAATGGGCTTCTGTTCTTCTATTCCCTGCTTGTACAGGGATTAACACAATTCTAGTTCTAATTCAAAGTGCTGATGATAAAGAGAGTTTGAGATGCATAAGTAGAGGACTTGAGAGAATGGTGAAAGAGCCACATGTAGTGCAATCACACAGCTGTTTACATTCATGTGTGAGTTTTTATATGCATATGTAAAAATAAATGCATATGATGACAGCACCATTTGAAGTGCTGACTTCTTTTGAAGAGGTTTATGTAATTCAGTGATGAACTGAGGGCAGAGGGGTCTTGGTTTTAATATGTGAAGAGTCAGTTATAAAAAGGTAGCATGTTTCTTGGTAGACCAGAACTCCAAAATCAGCTGTGTCTACAGCACAGGAGGTGGTGAGGTTGTATATTCTCTTTTTTTTCCCCTTCATCCATTCCTATGTGTGCATGTGTTCTTCATTTGCAGAACATTGAAACAAGACTAAAGATTTGTTTGCCTGAAGACCTGGGATCTGCTCTGATGGATGGTGTAGTTCTCTGCCATTTAGTAAATCACGTTCGTCCTCGGTCTGTAGGAAGTATTCATGTACCTTCACCAGCAGTAGTAAGTTGAGTGTTTCTTGTTACACTGGAGTTGGGAGGAGGAATATTGAGACAATGACAGTTTTATTGCCAAATTACGTTTGACTACAAAAAACAGGTTGATGTTCAATGGCTGTTTTTTGCTGTTAAGGGCAATATTTACATTATTGTGAGTTCAAATGTTCAATAATTTTTATATATTATATATGTATAGTGTGTGTATATACACACATCTGTAAGTTAATAAAAATATCCTGCTTTTCTGATCTGAGACAACAGATCAGATTTTTCATAATGGCCTTTTTTTTCAGTACGCTATGAAATTCTGTAATTACAGGGTGTAATTATTGGAGACCCTTTTCAAAAGACAATTAGCCCTTTGGTTGTTGATTGAAGAAATATAAGGGTAACTTCAGCAGTGTCAGGCTTAGCAGATGACATGTAACTAAACCACTTAGAGCGCTTAGTAGCATATTCCTCCTGTTGAGTTAAATGTAGAAATTACTCCTTTTATCTGCAGACAGAATGGTGTAGAAACATGCAATGATATGCTGCAGTGGCTTAATATTGGCTTGTCAAACCTAAGGTCCTGAAGATTGCAAGAGAGAACCTATGCAGTCTGTGTGTGTGCATTTCTTGAAACTTTTTTTTCTTAGTATTTTCTCTATTTATTGATGTCTTTTTCTTGGTCACATCTTTGTTCTAGATTTCTGATACCAGTCAGTTTCTGAAGAGGTTTTCATGGTGTTAGACTATCTGCTCTTTCTTTTTTTTCCAGTGTACATATTGGTAATAAAATAGATTGTATATGTTATATAATACATATAGTATATGATGTACATATCAGTAATATTGGTAATAATATTGGCCATGATACTCAATTCTGAGAAAAGCATGTGGCTTTCAAAGCCAGTCTGTAAGAACTTCCAAGAAGATAAATGTTAAGAAATTACCATTGTTTCACATCTTGCATGGAAAAAGTAAAATAGTGAGTTGTCGGGTTTGTGTTATATTCTTGTTTGGTTTTATTTTGTAACATGGTAGTTCTGTAACTGTCGTGAGACAAATTATGCAAGTATTTAAAATTCAGTATTTAAATTTCAGTATTTAAATACAGTACTAAGAAATTTCTTCTTCAGAAATATTAAAATTGTGTATAGTTACTATACATTTGTAAGCCCATAAAAGTAAGAACCTGCTAATTACAGTAAGTCTGTTCCCCATGTATTTTGTATACATATATTGAAATCCTTCATCAACTTACTTGCTGTCCAGAAAGTCAATGTTGTCTGTCACAAATCATCATAAAAGGCAGGTTTTAGAACTTCACGGACTGGACACAAACAAGAAGATATCTATATATGCTGGTAACTTTAATAACTAGGGAAAAGCACATGGCATCCACAGCATAGGTACTCAGATCATATTTGTAGGCATGATGCTTTTCAAGGGATTGAAAAGAAAGTGGAGCAGAATTTTTTTTATTCTTTTCAGTACAAGAATAAAGCAGTAGATGACTTTATTGACTGAATGAATGCTATTGACTTCTTCTGCCATAAATTACTGTTTCTTGTTTTTACAGCCTAAACTGAGCATGGCCAAATGCAGGAGAAATGTGGAAAACTTTCTGGATGCATGCAGAAAACTGGGGATACCAGAGGTAATTTAATTAAATCTGTCAGTTCTAGATGATTAAAGAAAAAAAAAGCAAAGCATGTTAATTACTTTAAAGCTGAAGGATAATTTAATGAACTACATTTTTTTCAGCCATAAAGATATATAATTTAAAAATTGATTTAAATAATGCGTTTTAATACTACTTTAGTGCATTTAAGTGGCTGATGTCATAGTGCTTCAGAACTGCAGCTTTTGTTGTCTTCTAGTAATTTAGTGTTAACCTAAATATCCTTGTCTTTGCCATGGAGAATAACTGAGGAATATGGTAATTAGGTAATCTGTAATTAGGCAAAAGTTTGCTGTACTTTTTCTTATAAAATATATCTGCATTTTTACATATTGCTTTTAGATTATGGACTTTGTTCTTTCTCATTATTGATTTTCCTTTTTTTACAATACTAAGTATCCTGTACTATGTGTTGTAAAAGTAGCTGATAACACTCATCTCTTGAACTGAAACACTTCTACAGTGATGGGAAGAAAATCACTGTGTTAAATATGGAATGTGCATATGAGTAAGGTTGTTATATAATGTAGATTTAAGTGTTTCAGAAGCTGAAAGTAGGGAAATTGCAGTGCTTGGTATTTTCTGTTTTTCATCTCAGAGTAGCGGAATTGATCATGTAATTTACTCTTAATACTAATAAGGAAAATATCTCTATAGCTTATGTAATGAATTCTGGAGTTTCATTGAAAATATTTTGAAGACTCCGTTATGGTCTAGAAATACATATGACTCTCAAAAGAAGGAAAGGTGTTATACAAGGTCTTTTTAGTCTGAAAACATGAAAATTGCATTATGTGTTTTACTTGTATTGTTGCCTGCATATGCCAGTATAATTATGATTGAGTTCTTGTCACTATGTTTTTTAAGAATGCTGAAACAAAAGGGTATTTTGTGTGTATCTCCCTTGCACCATTTTAGGGAACAAAGGTTTCATACTGGGAAAGCATTCCAGTTTGAATTATTTATATTTGATCTATATTTTAGCACTTGAATTGGAGGACAGCAAAAGGAACAGTTTGTTCTTGCTATGTGTAGCCATGTGAGGGGGAGACTTATCTTAAAACTCCAGTGATTGGTTCATTTAAGTTGTAATGTTTGATTAAGTTCTTGCAATTGTTATTTTTTGTGTTAGAATTAGAATTTCAGTTCAGAGAAGAGCAAAACCTCAGTGCTGTGGGCTTGTAGGCATAGAGCATTTATTAAACTGCCCCAAAATTCATTGTCATCTGATGCTTCATAAAGTATTCAGTGAATTAGAATATAAGTAGTTTTTTTTCTGGATATAGCATGTTGGAAAAGTAAAGGCCAAGACTGTTTTTTATTGTTGTCAAGAAGTCTTTCAGAAATGGAAATAAAACAGAAAAATTAAGAAAGTCCTTCAGTGCCATATTGCAGATGAGTAAGCTCAGCCTTTAGTCCAAGTTTTTTTAATTTTTGATTTTTGTAAGTAAGCATTCTGGAAAGATACCTTTTTGTTTTCAATGAACAGACTTTTAAATATATTTATTACCCCTCCTCTTTAATGCTTTCATTGAAATTGGTGGAGATTTTTTTAGGAATTATTTTATTTTAGTACATTAGATGCAGAGTTGCACAGAGCATTAAACACAAGGCCAGACCTCACCAATCTGATTTATAAACTGACCATCCTCATGAATCTAAATAAGCGTTAAGTTCTCTTGAGGGGAAAAAATAATTCACATAAACATGAAATGAATGGCTTGCAATTTTAAGTTTTGCAATAGACTTTAAATACTCTGTGGATATTATTTTGTAGCTGTCAGTATATGTTTCCTATGCATTGTGAAAATCCATCATGTTGCAGAATTAGATGGCAAATGAGAGAACTTTGCTGCGTGTAGGAGGGATGTGTATTAGGAACACAAAGGTGTATGATAACAAGTATGACAGGTAACTGTCACATTTTCTCAAGAACTGCAGATGGTGTGTTTGATGCTGCTTCTTCGGGTTGGTGAGTTGTACATTGCCTGCCTACCTCTGGGCAAATCAGTGAATGGAATACAGTTAATTACTTCCTTTTTTTCAGTCAAGCATCATTGCAGGAAAGTGATGGGTTCCACTTATGGACTAATACCCATGGATATGAGGCTTTTCTGTGATACTTATGTCCCTATTTAGTTTCTGAGAATTAACTCGAAATTGTTACTGCAAGGGACTTTTTTAAGGATTTGAAATTCTAGTAGTATACTGTTGCTTTGCTTTCAGTTATTTATGGAATGGAATAGAGGAAATGCTATTTCTGGGACTTCATAGGTTTAGGATAACATCCTGTCATATCATGTAAAATGAAAACAAGAAAATAGGTAAATAATTACTGTGTTGTGCTGATGTGCAGGGTCTCTTGCTTCTGTGGCTTTCAGCATTAAATTCTTTCATAGAAACTGCTTTCCCTGGAATGATCCTGGAAGACTTCATCCAAGTGTAGGG